AGAAGGGAAAAAAAGTAAGCGGGAAGGGAGAGAGAGAGAGAGAGAGAGAGAAAGAGAAAGAGAGAAGATTTATTATTTCTTTGACTCCGATCTGTACACTTTCTCATTCGCAATTCCCCGCCACGTGTACATATGTAGAAAATGTCAGTGGTTGTGCCGAATTCAGGGAGATATGAGGTTATACAGATCGCGATTTGAATAAGTACGCCATACGTTGCGTATCGTCGAACGCATTACGCACTTCCGCGTCACATGTATTTACATGTATTTATCGGTTTCTGCAGAATTTATAGATATCAGCACATGTTACTTTTCTCCGGCAATCCGGATATAATCAAATCCGCGGAAATTCAAAAAAAGCTTGACTTGAAATTTACTCCTACAAGAAAGAATGTTTTATTTCTCTTTTAGTGCTTTTTGTTTTTCTGCATGCTATGTGTAAATAAAGTCTAGAAGATAAATAAGTTAGAACGTTGTTTTCATTACTATCGGTAACGATAAAAAGTGTGAGGAATGACTGTTTATGAATGGGTGACATATGAATACTGTTAGCACGGAAAAGATAGCATTAATGATTTTTAATGTTGACAAACGTTTTTAACGTTAGTCAGTAATTATACTACCAGAGTAGAATTTTAAAACTTCAAGAAAGAATTGATTGATCTTAATTTTGAAAGCATAATATTATCCACTAATTAGGCTTTTATTCGAGTTTGTAAAGTCTTTTTTATTATGTATAAATTCTTATGCCATTTTTTTCACGTGTTGAATTTTAATTGTTTGAAACGATGCACAAGGATTTAATCAATTTGACGAAAGATAAAGAAAACAAGTCACAATATGTGATTGAAATGCGTATATTACATAATATTGTCACTTATTCATCCAGAATGTAAATAAGTAACTATGAATGCGTTTACTCGTTTACTTCATGAAAGCAAAATACAGTTATACTCGTCTTTTAATCCACACAGTTATATCAATAGAAAAATGTCTATAATATAATGAATACGTATGTGCACAAAAGATATTTTTTTTTATCATAAATAGAATAGTCATAAATCTTATACAAAAGCTTATCAATTATTCCGTAAAATATTTGAGTAACTTAATAAAGTTACTGTATCCTTACATATATGATGAAAATTGTCGCCAAAATGATCTTTTTGTAACGAAAATGTTAAGAATTATTTCTTTTGGTATCATTTACTGAATAATTTATATTAAACCGAACGAAAGTGGCCTTAAAATATCCGGCGCCATTATTCTTTTATGCTGGGTCAAAGTCCGCTTCTTGGAACAAGATTTTCTTATTAGAACGCGGCCAACGTGCATGTTCAGGCATGTAAAAGGCGACGTGCATGTAAATTGCACTTTTGCGGTTATGCAGACATCTCATGTCGTGCAGTTAAATAGGGTAACCAGTTAGGCGAAGAAAAGGAAGAGAGACATAACGTAATATTTATTAGAGAAAATTGTAGTAAAAGTTATATTTACGTAATAAACAAAGAAGAAATAAGAGGAAATAAGAGGAGCTAAAGCCATGGAACTTTAGAAAGTGGAACTTTAGAAGTGAATATATCAATGTATTTAATTGTAATTAAAGTATTTATTATTTTTATTATGTTTATAAGTAGTTATTATTTTTATTCTGCTATATCTAATCTTATGCATCATGATTTCTGCATTTTTTGTCTTTTTTCTTTGGTAAATTATTGTACTTGACTCTTACTCCTCGATCTTTTTGCTGATAGAAGATAATTATGATAAATTGTATCTAATAATAATTTATATTATATATTGGCTTATTTATTTTTTTAATGTTTGTTAGAGATTAAATTACGCAGTAAATATTTATGGCGTTTTGCGAAGAATTACAAAAATGTATAGCTTATATTATATTTACCGTTTCAAATATTTCGAAAAATATCTGTAGAATTCTGATAAACTATTATACATTAAATGTTGCTCAATATTAAATGAATATTTATAAATATAAACTTAAACTGAAATAGCTACTATCGCGAATGCTGAATGTCGGAATGCATAATAATACAACATATAAGGTTTCCCTCGTCGCGATCAGTGTCATAGGAAAACAATCGCTGATATCGATCTTCGTACATTACTCTTTCGTACAGCAATTTATTTTATCGAATTACCAAGTAGCGGCGAAGTAAGATCGACCTCATTAGATCGACAGTCGGATATTTCGTGAACTTAAGTCTTAAATTTAACAATTAACGGTTCGAATTTATCGTTTAATTTGCCAGATAAAAATTCAAAAAAAATCAGATAGTTTAAAACAAAGAGAGCATTAAAAATTGTTTTTTAACTTTTAAAAAGTAAAATTTTTAAATATTGTAAAATATTTTTTCATTAATAAATTACAATGAGAAAAAATATAGGAAGTTTGCATTTTGAAGTCATGACACGTGTCTCACTGTAGAATACTCCGTCAAGTTGAATATTAATGAAATAGTAGTTACATTCGAAAGTTTACTTTAAACATCAACACTCAGCTTGAAGAATATTTTTTCATGATAAAAGATGACGGTAAATATATAGTAGACATCGTACAGTACAATTTGTGTGGAAATGATGAAACATCCTACAACAATCGTGAATTCAACATGCAAGTTCCTACTTTGAGATGTATTTACCTTAAATCTATTCTGTAATTTTCAAATAATCAAATTCCATTTTTCTTACGTGTATCACGCACTTCACGTTCGTGATATTACACAACTGAATAGTTAAAATACGTAGATACTTTAAATCCACTTATTCAAAATATTATGTGTAATATGTATAATAAAGTATATGGTCATTGATATAGATAAAAAAGTTAATAGATTAATCTAGTTAATCGATTATTCTAGTTTAAAACTTGCATAATTATTTGTATTGTTAATGTGATTTAATCATACCTTCTTTCAAATATTATTATCATTATTGTAATATTTGATTAGTATTCGTGTACATTGACATTAACTTATTGAATTTCATTGTTCTTAATTATATTCCATATTTTAAAAATATGATTTTAATATATATGATTTTACATTTTGAAAACTATCTTGAATTATTTATAAACACGATCCATTTAAGGCTCAAAATTCTTATTGCTTCGGAATAACTATGCATTATATCTTTTATTAAGTTGTAAGACTTAGCATTTAACGATCGATTTAACATTTAATGACTTAATATTTAGTTTAGTGCAAAATATTTTGTTATACTTTCCTGGACGAACGTGCCAAATGAAAGTCAACGGATAAGAATAATCGGCTTCCTGTATATGCAGTTATTTTCCGTACAGTATTACGAAACGTTTCGGCTTTGGTTGTGTAACAAATGTATAAAATTGCAAATTTGTTCTTGTCGTGTTTTCGCCTTTTATAACGAGAGGTATAAATATTAATACGTAATTAATTTAGACAATAACATAATTCCGAACCATATGTATAAATGTGTAGAAAATAACTAAAACGTGAAAAATTACAAAAGTTCTGTAGAGAAGGTTAAATAAAAAATGTAAACTTATTATCTTGATTATCTATTTCATGAATAATTAGCTAGTATGTTTTACTTTTAATAATTTTTAAATTATTATTATAATTAATAATTTTTAAATCATTATAATTTATTTTACTATAATTGCTTGAAGATTTAATCATTATATTTTAAATCATAGCGATATTTTATTATTAATCAGCAAATAACATATTTTTATTTTTTTAACATATTTTTTTAAGCAAAGGAAAAAATAAACTTTTTTATATGAAATGTATTATTGAAAAAACTAATTAATGTTAAAAGTTAATGTTAAGTTAAATCTTAAAATTTCCTAATATTAATGAAATTCATTCAAATACCGAATGATGAAAATTATTGTAAAATCGACAAATTTGCAATTTCAAAAATGATTCAATCACGAATGACCTCGATGACTAGCAGGAAGAATTTTAATTATCGATGTTGTCAGTTTTATAAACAATTCTCCCACATAATTTCTGCGTATCTTTCATTCTTCAGTAGGACTTGGTTGAATCTATTTATCATGAGAAAGATTTCACGTGTAAAATAATTATTTCTTTGCATTAGCG